CCTGTAAATTTCAGTTCGTTGTTTTCTACCACTGAGTAGTACTCCATTGTGCAAATGTACCAAATTTTCCTTACTCTTTCTTTGGTTGAGGGGCACTTAGGTTGTTTCCATGTTTTAGCTGTTATGAATAATGCTGCCGAGAACATAGTTGAGCAAATTTCCTTTTGGTATGAGTGTGCATCCTTTGGGTATATGCTCAAGATTGGGATTGCTGGGTCTTGAGGTAGATTGATTCCCAATTTTCTGAAAACTGCCATACTGATTTCCAAAGCAGCTGTACAAGTTTATAATCCCACCAGCAATGGAGGACTGCTTCCCTTATTCCGCATCTTCTCCAGCATTAGCCATTCTTAGTGTTTTTGATCTTAGCCATTCTGATAGGCATAAGATGATATCTCAGAGTTGTTTTGATTTGCATTTCCTTTATAGATTTCTGTCAGAAAAACCACTTATGTAAACTCTGAGAAAAATAATATGCTTAAGAAAATAAAATTTTCCTTGTGTCTTTGGACTTTACAACATCTAATGCCCAATAAAAACAGATACACGCATTTGATCCCCAAGATATTTGAAATACTTTACATGTATTTAGCTGAATTACATGTAGATAAATGTCTAAATCAATGACTCAATTTTTCTACAGATTTTTAAAGAGATTTGACATGAGTAAGGGAGTTTATTTTCATATTCTTTCATAGTGTCTTTTATAGTCAGATCCTGAACTAATGTGACCTAGCCTTTTCTTACTCTGATATATAAAAGTACCTTTCTACCTCCTAATACTATGTACAAATAAAATGAAGTAGTGAGGCTTCCACAAACCACACTGCCTCCCTCCATATATACATATGCATATATGCATAATTTATTTTATTTTCTTAAGCATATTCTTTTTCTCGGAGTTTATCATAAGTTTTTTTTGACATACATCTATAAAAGAAATGCAAATCAAAACAACGCTGAGGATATAAATAGTTAGTCCCTGCTAAATGGTTCTACTAGCTAATATTACATAACTGAACACTTAAAAATGTGCAGACTATCGCTTTCCCTAATATAATGTAGTCTTTCATCTTTGCACCCTACTAATCACTTGGAACAGTTTCCTTCTGCCTCTCAACATGCTAATTCCCATTTGTGTAATAACCATGAAAAAAGGGTTCTTGTCCTTATTGTTCAGATATTGCAATATTGATGAATTGAGATTTATTAATGGAGCTAGTTGTATTGCTAATAAAGACTTATAAGTGCTCTTCTCCACTCACTGTGGAGACAGCAGGCATATATATTATTTCTTTTTGATAGATACCGCTAAGATACAGAACTTGGCTTTATTCTGAGGCATAGTGTTTCTATGAAGATAGTGTATGTGAACAGGTCTTTGTTGATGGTTATTGTATTAACTGTTTGACGACACCATTGTTACTGTTAAAGATACTACATTGCATCTTTGGTCTTTCAGTTTATAGAGAATAGAATGGGAAAGTTACAGGGAGCCTTCTGAACAGAAGCTTCATGTGTTAATAGCCACAGTGAGAATATATATAAGAGCTTCATAATTGAAAATTAATATAATATATAATTAAGTCCAGCCTTCTGGTCTGTGTTGCGTTAAAAGTGTTGACACCTGTCTCTTCCACAAACTTAAATCCCATTTGTGACCTGCAATTTCACAACTTTGACAGAAAAATATTCTGAGAACTCTCAGATGGCTCCAATCCCCCTTTAAGTGTTACATCCACAATTGTCACCAAAATAAATTTTATTGGTGTATTATAAACAGTAGCATAAGTAAGGACCATGCTGAAGAATAATTGACCTTTAGCCTGCATAGTTTAGAATAGTTAATTGCAAGTAGAAGCTACTGGGAACTTAAAGTAGAAAGCTGAAGTTGCTAACTTTCTAGCAAGATCATTAAATACAAAGGAAATACTTCAAACATACGTAGCAGCCAGGGGCCCTGAAACTTTAGGTCCCATCACAGCTGTGGTGAGAGCCTGCAGTTAGGAATGCTGCAGGGAGGAGAAGAACAGGAGCGGTCAAAGGACATACTGCAGATGTTGTCCTAAAACTCTGATAAGTCTGTTTCTATGGAAAACTTTGACAATTAACTTTGAAAATTGAGATAATTTTTAGTAAAGAAGTCCCCCTTTGCCCAGTTATTTATGATTATCTCACTTGTTTTTTTATAAAACATGCTGTTATAATTGCTAATTTTAATTAATCGTACCAACTTCTGAAATGTTTAATTATTTTCACCATGGTAAATAATAAGATTGGGATCTAATTATGTAAATCTAATGCTGAAGTCCACATTCTCTCTACCTCTCCACTCTCTCTTGGGAGAGAATTTTGAAGCGTTAAAGGAAGGGTATACACACACACACACACACACACACACATGCATATACACATGCATGCGTGCACACACACAAACATAGAATACATTGCTCAAATTACACCATTTGACCATAAAAAATGACAATTTCATGGAGTTCAACTTTCTACATGTCACATTATCCAATTTACATGCTCCAAACTGAAATACATTCTTCATACTTTTCCAATGAACATTCCTGTCTCTCTACTTTCCATTTGCCAAATGCTCCAATGCTACTGAATTTGTCCAAGCCTCATTTCTTCCATTCAACTATTCTGCAGTCTCCTTTATTAGAAAATCACCTTCATGACCATAATGGTGAAGTCTGGGTGCCTCCCTTAAGGTTCTTCATCTAACCCTTTCTTAAATTATTGTTCTCTCCTGATTTTGAACTATAATAAACACTTGGTTAGTAGTTAATTATAAAATTATTATTTTCTTTGAGGAGAAAGACACAATATTTCTCATATTTCAATTTCTCAATCCTGGAGACTTGGTTTTTAATAAGTGTATTGATGATCAAGGATAACAAAGCTGAATTCTGTATACTTGGTCCCTTTCACATTCCATGGAGCACAGAGCTATTGTAGCTTCTGTAGAAACTCTAGATAACTCCAAACCCCTAAGTGTAGGTGGCTTCTCCTTATGTGTTTCTTAAGCCTCTAACTGTACTTGTCTTATTATGTCTATCACTGTGACCCAAAGGAACTTGGGAAGGAAAGAGTTGGCTTCAGTTTACAACTCTGTCCTACCCATTACCAAGGGAAGTCAAGGCAAGAAGGTAGGAACCTGCAAACAGAGAGTTGGAGGAAAGCTGTTTATTGGCCAGTTTCGCATGGTTTGTTTAGTGTGTGTGTGTGTGTGTGTGTGTGTGTGTGTGTGTGTGTGTGTGTGTTTTAGCACCATCTTTCCAGAGGTGACTTGATTCCCAGTGTGCTGGTCCTGCCTGCCTTAAAAATCAATCCAAAAAATGCCCTACTGACTTGCATATGTGAATCCAATGAAGACATTTTATCAATGGTTGAATGCTGCTTCCCAAATAATTTTAGATTATATCAAGTTGGCAACAAAAACCCTAACAACCCCACATTCCAACGATCAGACATGGCATCAGTGTTTTCAATGCATATTTAATGTACGGCGTGCCACCCTGTCCCAATCCCAACTGTACCTATAATAACTTATATAGTTTTTTTGTTTCTCTTTGTCAGTTTTGCATAATCTTTCACTCCACATTAATTCTTTATATCTTTATATCAGTTTATAACCTGATGTAGACTCCGTGTGATTTTCCTTGGGACTTGCTGGCTTGTTGGGGTACTGGGCAGGACAGAAACCCCAACAAACTGGCCCCGTCACACTACATATGGCGCCCAACATGGATAATTCTATATGCATACATCTGTACATACACACATATATGCAAAGATTAATTGTAGAGATTTCATATTATAAATGGGTAGAAAATGAGCATATAATTCTTCTCTTCAGTATCAAGTACACATGTGGTGTACAGTCATATACAGAGTCAAGACATCCAACTGCATCTTTGTTTCAAAAATAATAATCAAACTGTGTAAGCAATAGTTTTACTCATGGGTATTAAGTTTTTACTGTCACTTTGAACTTCTTGGAAGGTCGGAATGGTAGGAGGGATTTTGGAAGACTTGGTACAGACTTGAATGGCACTACTTTATGTCATAAGTACAATCTTCCAAGATGTGGAGTACCAATTATACCAGTGACTGACTCCCTCTCTTGTGGCAAACATAAGTAAAAATTCAATTAATTAGTTTGATCTAGACTCTCAAGAAGCACACTAATTCATGTCTGATGTATCTTCCAAGATGTAGGTTGCCAAAGAGGAGATTACCTGATCCTAAATCATATGATCTAGATTATCGTGTTTGTAGATCTAATAGTTCTTACCCCTAAAACATAAGACAAGATTTCTATAGTGGATCATTTTTTTATTGAATTTTACTTGGCAGGAAGGAATTCTTGGAAGAAAATGGGCCTAATATGTGAAACTGAAAAGGGAATGTAAATGGGATCATATTATAACTGATGACAAAAATGTTTGCAAATGTTGTTAAGATAAAAAATAAATTAAAGGTGATTGCCAAAGCATCACATTAATTTGACAATTGAACTAGACAGATAGACAGTGAGCATGTTTGTCGCTCAAATAACTGCAAATACTTACAGATGGCGCCCATCACATTATGTAGAGCAATGCTTCAAATGAGAAGACGTTGCAACTGGAGAGGTACCCAGATTAACACCCAAACTTCCATTCCTCTGATGGTTTTTTTAGTTAGGTCCTGAGTTACAAAAATGTAGCCAAGTCCTTGCCTAAAACCTGATTTCAGCACCATGAAATGTGTTGTCTTGTGTCTACATCAGTTTTTTAAATCCATGTAATGACAAAATAATATGGCAATATTTCTCTTACATTTAGAAGAACCATGCACAAAACTACTGTAAATTCTTTACTATACATACTGCTTGGTGCAGAGTGAGTATTCAATAAAAAGTGGCTATGAGTATTCTAGAAGACAACCAAACTTACATGTTACACACTGCCATGATTCTGTCTATTTTGAAAAAGAGGCAAAAATGAATCAGCGTTTTTATTGAAAAGAAAACAGAAGTGAAAAGAAGCCATCGAAGCTACAGGCAAGGTTCACCTGTTCTTCAGTGGGCTAACAGGGATTCTATCTTTCAGCTGGAAATGTCAGTGCTGTGCTCCACCGCCTCCTCCGGATCCCGTCTTTAACGTTGCCATATTTCCTTGCTTTCTCATGAATTCCTGCTGCTTTCTTCATGAAATTGTCGCATCTGCAGCAGAACATGTGAGCTGCAAGTCCTAATTAAAGCTTCCTCCTTGCATTTAATCCAATCTCACAGCAACTAAAAAAAACGACCCCGCAGTGACAGGCTGGCCTCGGTTTCAGCCGCCTGTCAGGAGTGGGACAGGGGATCCATAGTGAGTAGAAGACAAGAATGATATCAGATAAAACCTACACATAACTGAATCTATCACAGGAAATGATGACTCTTACCAGGGAGGGGAAATAGATGATAACTCCTTGGTAAACTGGAAGGAGGCAGCAGAGGGGATGGGTTGGGGGAGGAGAGCGTGGGGGTTGGGATGGTTGAGTTGGGTGGGGGAGGGGCAGAGTGGAAGAGCAATGAAAGCGATATCTTGATAAAGGGAGCCATTATGGGGTTAGGGAAATACCTGGTGGTAGAGAAATTCCCAGGATCTACAAGGAGGACCCCAGCTAAGACTCCTAGCAATAGTGGAAAGGGTGCCTGAACTGGCCTTACCCTGTAATAACATTGGTGAAAACCCCAACTGTCATCATAGAACCTTTATCCAGTAACTGATGGAAGCAGATGCAGAGATACACAGTCAAGCACCAGGCAGAGCTCTGAAAGTCCAGTTGAAGAGAGGGATTATCTGAACAACAGGGGTCAAGATCATGATAAAGAAATATAAAGAGAGAGCTGAACCAAACTTGTGGAAACTCAAGAACTGTAGACTGACTAGGCCCTCTGCCTGTGGGAAACAGTTGTGTAGCTTGGTTGCTTGAGTGGCCCCTGGCAGTGGGAGCAGGACCTATCCCTAGTGCATGCGCTGGCATTTTAGAACCCATTTTCTATTATGGGGTGCCATGCTCAGCCTTGATCTAGGGAGAAGGGGCTTAGTTCTGCCTCAGATTCATGTACCAGGCTTTGTTGACTCCCCATAAAGGCCTTACCCTTTCTGAGTAGTGGATACAGTGTGGGTTGTGGGGGAAGCAGAAGATGGTGGAGAGGGAGGAGGGGTCAGGGAGGGAACTGTAATTGTTATGCAAAATGATTAAAAAGTTTACAATGACAAAGGAAATGATGCCTCTTAATGGCAAAAAGACACTGGGGGAGCTTGTCAAAGCCACAAAAAATGCAGTCTGTGGGAGACACTGAAAAAATACAACTCTTTGAAAGCAGGAAGCATGAAACTTTCTATTACATAATCTTCCATTCTCGGCCCTCTGTACTTGTCTGAAATTAAATCAAACTTACAGAGAGATTATTTAATTATCATTGATTTATGCCTTATTTCTGTACAAAATGAATTACGATAGTCAATTAATGTATCCTTTCTGCCCCTTTGGTTAAGCTCTAAGAAATCTTATTTTGAGCCATTGCATAGACTCACTGGAGTGTTTTCTTCATTGATTAATGAGAACCAACCACATAACTGATCACTCTCAGAACTAATATTATTACTAAGATGGAGAAACTGACTCGGTATCTGCCTTTTAGCTCTCCTCGGCGATTGATCATCACGAGCCCATCTTTCTCTGCCACGGCCCTTATTTACTGCTGTTGGGCAGGGCACCAGATCAGATTCCACAGGGGCCTAATCCACCTCTCCAGGGCCATAGATCTTCATAACTTTTCAGTGCTTTCCTCTTCCTTACTATTTATCCATCCTCACCCATGAAACGAGAGATATTCTTGGGGTTGAGACAATCAGGATAATGGGCCAGAATTTTACATATTTTGCTTTGTGGTGGTTTTATAGAAAGGGAATGAGGAAGGATATTGAACACACACAGCCCTCCTTTATTTTCTTATTTCCATATATTCATTGGAAAATGGTAATTTATTATTTCCTATGTGCATTTTTGCTTTAAGACAATATTTATAAAATCTTGAGATGAGTAGATGTTACATGACAAAATATAAAGTATCTACAAAATCTGCTTTGACTGACATTTAACAAAGACTTTTTTTGATTTATGTAAATTACATTTACTTTTGAGAGTTGTCTCACTCATGTATTTACAGAATTTGCTAGCAATTAAAAACACACATATATATATATAGCAAGGGACCCATTACTTTTTTCTGTACAACTACCGTTGCGGGTTCTATCCTCAAGAAATTTCAACTGTTCTGAACCATCATAGGCTAAGTTAACTGCTTTTTAAAGCACACCTTTCCTGGCATCAGGGCAAACATCCCTTGACGTGGTCATACTTTTTTCTCATTTCTACCACTCTTATCATTTGTCTGTGTTCTTGTATATGTTTATCATAGGTAGCGGATCCATTCAGCTCTCCTTGAAGTTCTCTTACTTCTGTCCTCTCTCATGAAAAATTCCCTGGAAACACACAAGAAGGCCTTTTAGGCTCTGTTGGTTAAAAATCAGTACTCACTATAATCTGCAATGGTAGCTGCCAGAGAGTTGTCTGTTTTGTTTTTTATCCATTTCTTTGAAGTTAAATGAATTAAAATTACATCACATATTAGCATGAAAACTGTCTTTTCATCATTGGAAACAGAGCAAAAGACAGTACTCTAATGTAGCATTAATTTATGTAATAAAACTGGGCAGACAGGATTTATATATTCAACAAAGTATCAAGACCTCTATGTTCCTTCTACATACATTTGTACTCATATGCAGGAAAAATGCTCAGGCCACCTAAGATGATGCCCAAACAAAATGGGTTATCTTTATATGAAACTTAATACATTAATTTTACTAACAATAATATTAGGTAACAAGAAAATATTCTGAGATGAATATGCCAACATTTATGCAGTTATCATTAAAACTCTTCTGTGCTTTTTCCTGACTGCCCAGTTTCTGGTACTGAAAGAAGGGCCTCCCAGAACTCCATCTCTCAGCCAAATATTTTCCCTGTAAATCCTATAAATGGACAGCTCTAAGTGTCAATAGGTGAGGAGCTTCCTAGTCCCCAAGCAGTGAGCCCGAATTTCACCCCCTCCTAACTCCAAAGTACTGAGAAATATGGGCTCCATTGGCCCCAATCTCTTGGTCTAAACTTCCTGTACCTGCTCATCTCCCACATCAAAAAAAGAGAAACAAGGCAAAATTCTAAGATATGTCTCCTTAAAAATTCCTAATCCCATAAAAATGGATCGCAAATGAGAATGACAACTGAATTTCAACATGCAAAAAAAAATTGAAATATACTGTCAGTGCTCATTGTGTGCAGCATTCAACTGACATTAGATCAAGGATATCAACATAATACACAACACCCTGAATTTTCTACAGAAAACTAATGAGCATGTTTCCATGTATAGGCTCAGGTAAGAACTTACTAATTAAGATTCTAGTAGAACTGGAAATAAGACCAACAATCATCAAATGATATCTTACAAAGCTAAAAGACTTCCTCACAGCCTAGAACACTGGAATAAACAGACTGATGTGAGATTCCCGTCTGTATGCTGTGAATACCACTGGTGAATAAAGGAACTGCTTTGGGCCTATAGCAGAGATATAGAGAAACAGATATAGGTGGGGAAAACTAAACTGAATGCTGGGAGAAAGGAGGTGGAGTCAGAGAGAAGCCATGTAACCCCGCTGGAGACAGATGCCAGAACTTTAGCCTGTAAGCCACAGGCACGTGATGATACACAGATTAATAGAAATAGGTTAAATTAATATGTAAGAGTCAGTAATATGTAAATTAATATTACAAAAGCTAGAGACCAAGCAGTGATTTAATTAATACAGTTTCTGTGTGATTATTATGGGTTTCTGGGCAGCCTTCTTCAACAACATACAGTTCACAGAATAGGAAAAAATTTTTCCCAACTATTTATCTGACAAGGGGTTTTTGTTTACAATATACAAATAATTAAACATATATGTATACACACACACACACACACACATATATATATATATGAGATTAACAACCTAATTAAAAATGGAATGTGAACGTTTACAGGAAAAAATTCTAAAAATAAGAAATTCAAATTGCTAGCTAACACTTCAAAATGTGCTTAACATCCTTACTCATCATAGAAATGTATATTAAATTAGTGTTCCATTTCATGCCTGTCTGAATGGCTACCATCAGGATTTGGCATCAAATGTCAGCATAGAAATGTGAAATGAGAACTTTTATACACAGTTTGAGTATTAACTGGTGAAACTACTTTGATAATCATCCCAGAGGATTCTTCAGATAGATAGATAGATAGATAGATAGATAGATAGATAGATAGATAGATAGATAGATAGATAGACAGACAGAGATAGACAGGCAGGCAGACAGACAGACGGGCAGACGGACGGACGGACGGACAGACAGACAGACAAACAGATAGATAGATAGATAGATAGATAGATAGATAGATAGATAGATAGATAGATAGATAGATAGATAGATAGATAGATAGACAGATAGAAATGGAAGTGCCCCTCCTGGGCATATACTCAACTGATTTTTACATTCCACTGAAGAGAAGCTCTCACATCAGTGTTTATCCATTCATCTATTCATAATACCTAGGAAATGACATCAATCTAGAAATCCATGGACAGTTGAATGAAGATAAAAGTGTTGTAAAAATACAGAAAGAAGATACACTCAGTATGTTTAGTTTTTATCATATTGTATTATACTTAATATTGTTATTAGTAAAATTAAGTAATTAATTTCATATAAAGATTACCTTGTAAATTTATATGTCACTTGTATGCTCTGGATATTTCTTTCCTCTGTGTGTGTATGCCTGTATGTATATGTGTATGTATATATATATATATATATTATATATGTATAAATGAAGCATGTGAAGATCTATACATACAGTTATCTTCAGAATGTCTTTATTACCTAAGCCCTTTCATCAAAGTTTGTGATACACATAGAACTACAATAGATTGCCTTTTGCTCGACTCATTTCCAGTAGATGAAAAGAAATAGCTGGCAAAATAATGTTGGGAGATAACTGATATCTTTTAAAGATATATGTATGTGTGTGTGTACATATATATTGAGTGGGAGCTCTCTGACAGGTACCATTGTCAGTTGGAGTAAGGCTTGACTTTGAGAATATAGAAACAGAAAAGAGATAGAAAGAATGTAAAGGCTGGAAGATTCAGAGTGCTCTCAAATGCTGTCTTCTAGAAATGACATAGGTAATGTAGCCATGAACTCACAGAAGCATTTGTAACCTGCTCACGTTCAATCCAGACAAAACTGGGACATAGATGAGTGTCAGGCAGCACCCTTACTGAGAAGCTGGGGAAGGGTGAGTCATTCTCCCTCTGTCTCTGTCTCTGCCTTTGTCTCCATCTCTGTCTCTGTGTCTTTCTTCTTTCTCTCTT